GGGGGAGCTCAGCTCGGGCCGGACCGGGATTCGGTGGCTGGTTGCCACTGGCTTTTTTCGAGGCGACGTGCTCCGGACACCCAGTGCCAGGAACAGTGCTGCCTTTTTTGTTTTCTTTTCCTCCAGTCTCCTCTCCTCCAGACTCCTGGCTCCGTCGGCTCATCCGTGTCGAGCTAATTCCCCGCGCCGCTGGACCGAGGGAGGAAAAGTAGCCGCATGGCTGGAAACCCTCCCCCCCGGGGCGCGCAGAGGATGGCAGAGATGGAAAGGAGACAGAGGAGCTTTAGGAAACCCCGCGTTGCCCGTTGCCCCCGGGGTGCCAGCTTGATAGGCGACGGCCAGAGGAGCCGGGATGGGGCTCCGGTGCGGACGCGGAGTGAAGCCTGCCAGCGGGCTCGTTCCCGGAGGAGCACTCGGCAGCTCGGGCAGCTGCTCCGTTCTGCCAGACTGAGCTTTGAGCGAGCGTGGAGCGGAGGAGCCGCCTGGGAATTCCCGTCCTCCGGAGCCACCCGCCCGATCGCTCCTTGCCTGAACCGTTCCCGTGTCTTCGGGGACCAAAGTGGCCAGATGCACGACCCGTAAGCGAGCAGAGCGGGGATCTGCCCCACCACAGGGTTGGGGCTGGCTCGACGTCGCTTCCAACGGAAACCTTTCCCGCGTCTTTCTGCAGCCTCGTTTCCCTTCCCCGCTTCTTGCTGGTGTGTTATGGGCCACTGCCAGCTTTCAGCCAGGATTTGCTGGGGTGCTGGGCTTGGAGAGGGCTCTCTAGAAGCAGTTTGGGTAGGTAGTTCTTGTAATTTGGGCTTTCTGGCAGCAAAGCAGCTGGCAATGCACTTATCCTAGCCTTTTCATGCCCTGGGACTCTTCTTCCCCGTCCCCCCAGGACAAAGGGGAGGCCTGGCTTTCCCGCGGGAACGTGAGCCGCTCCGTGCTGTGCCCTGCCACCCCGGGATCCGAATCCTAAAGCGTTTATCTCCACGCTGCATTTTTAACAGTTCCCCTCTGGCTTGCCCGAGGGCAGGGAAGTTTTATCAGTCTGAGCCCGGGGGGTTTTCCCCACCCTATATCGGCGTGGGTATCGCCGGGGGCAGCTGGAGCTTGTGGTCGGACGCAGCCTGTCGACGCGTCCTCTCTGCGCTGAGGGCCGCGGTCCCGGGGCTCAGAGTCCCCCACCGCGATGGAGCGTGTGGCCAGAGCTTTCCCTGGAGGTGAGCGATCATGGTGGTCTGTAGGCACATGCTGGGAGAGGGAGGCACGGGTGGGTCCCCAACGCTGGCTTCCGGGGAGCA